CCATGGTTCATATGAGCCTCTTTCAGAGATGCCTAATCAACGCCAACTCTGGACAAATTATGAGCCTGTACTGGGAAGAAGCTCAATCCACTTTATCCTATTAGCTTTTCCATAGGTCTTTATGCTCTTTTCTTGAAGCGATCTAAGTGGTTGCAAAACCAAAATTGAGTGCTGTCCCTTTATTTCTTTCTGACTTCATCATGGCATAGACTCCGAAGTAATATTTTTATCTCATTTAAAGAGTGATTAGACTCTTCTATCTCGTGGTACAAAAAGAAAGCAGAATAGGCATGACCAAGACTCCACACTATTTCATTACTAAAAGCTCAGCCTTCAAGTAGTGAAAGTCAAACTGCTTCGCATATGCAGTAGTAAGACCGAGCAATCCCTCGTCTTGCGTCACTCGATTGTGCCCAGCTTTTTGTAAAAAATTCCCTTCATTACATCATGAAAACGAACTGATGTGTCCGAAAGGTACGATCGGCCCAGGATCGAACTATACTCCAAGCAAAAGCCATGACGAATAGCCCAAATTTTTCATTAGGTTACCAAGGTTGTTGAAACTAAGTGATCATAAGTACCATTGAGCAGATTGCTTCTTGGATGGTGATCTGGGGAACGATTGTGTCATTTTCCAGGCTGAATGGAAATAGATATCGCAATTCTATGCCTTCACATTCAGAATGAATAAAATGACCGCCGACTAGCTCTGCCCTGCATGTGTTTGTCGCGAGAGGATGAAATTCCCTTCCACTTCAATTTGATGTTGTCGTCAGCTGTATCGCGTCACACGACCCTAGAATGGGAACAACTCCCTATACTGAACAGAGAATGGAACCTCTGACAAAAGTTTCCTTAGGTTTCCAAGCTGTCCAGGGATCTTGTCTTGTTTTGTCTCTTTGAAGAGTTGTTATATGGTGCTACGAATGGCGAGACTCATTGACGATGCTGACTACGATGCTAGCGAAACGTCTGGGAATGTACCACGTCCACGGTCCTAATCTGGAAATGATGATGCATACAATAGACTCCGGACTAGGTGCGTTCCTCTAAGTCTTCCTACCGATATTACCGAGTTGCGAAAACAAGCTCAAATAACTTCTTAAAAAAATAAAGATTTAGCTATTTTACGCCCATTCCGTTTTATCTCACAAGTAAGAAAAATAGAGAATACAGGAAACGCATTAAGGGTTTTAAAGAGGATGGTGAAGTATAAGTAGTCTCTAAAGCTGCTGCGAAGAATATTATCGCAGTTGGGGCCTCTCACAAACAAATTCACATTGAAAAAGCTGTATTCCGCCATAGAAGAAAGAACGTTTTGGGAGGCAAAGGTAATGACATTCATTGGCATCTTAAGGGCTATTCATATCACTGTGGGAAAATTCCAATGTCCATCCTGAAATTACCTTAAGCGATCTAATGTGAATAAGTTATGACTAACTTGTTCTTCTGCTCTTTTGAGACACCAGCCCTTAACAAAATGCCGACTCTAAATTATTTAGGCTTAATTCTTGCAGACTCTCCTCAGCATAATAATGTAGGCCATAGGCAATTAGACTACAAGGAAAAATGTATTGAAAACATTTAGTTGACTTCTCTACTGCAGGCCCCAGAAGTGATGTATTCCGTGCCTAAGTCTACTGTTGTCGGAAAGCCCACTTGGATATATGCCCACAGTCAAGCCAATAATGACAATTCCGTTAAATGCCTGCCCATAGTTGTTAACCCAGTTAGCCTATGCTGTCGGAGAAAGTTAGCCATTAACTACTTTTCAACTAGATTTAATTTTTTTCTATGCGAATATGCTTCTAATTATGTATAATGTTATAATAATAATTGGCAGTAGTAGTAATAATAATAATAATGGCAATATAATATTGATGTATATATATATTATGAGTACAATATACTTTATATAATGATATGTTAAATATGATATGCATATAATAATATGATGATGATACAGGTTGACTCCACCCCGTCTGTAAAGTTCACTTAGCCTTGCAGCCCAAAATATTTTTGCAACCAGGCTGGACTCTTGTTACCACCTTGCCTTATCGTCTCACCAGTACCCACAACGGAATTTGAAACTACATTGTGGCTTTACCACTAAATGTATAGTCATGGTTTCTAGTGATATAGTTAAGTGTCTCTACGCTGCTCATGGTCCGAGTTCTAATCTCATTGTAGGTGCTAATTGAATGAGGAGGCGAGGTCATAACAGCGGTCCAACCTGGATGAAAAAGCCTCTGGGTAGCAAAGCTAAATGAACTTCTAAAATATGAGGAAAAGCTGGGTTTCGAATAATTCCTTGGTAGATTGATACTGACAAACCTTTCATTTGGTTTGAGAAGGCGGGTGGAAGAGATTCGTAGATTAGCCTCACCTGAGGCCAAAGGAGAATAGCCTTGGACTGTTGTCTGTTGAATTATGTGAAATAGACCTTAGCTCACCGTCCTACGACCCCGATGATTCTGTGCTGAGCTTCCGTCCGTCATGCGACAGACATCGTCAGAGCCAGAAACCATTATACACGAACAATCACTAAAAATACTAAACGAAGAAGGACGAATTACTGAGGAAATGGAGCGTCAAGACAATGTATAAAGCAACAATAACGCTTTCCTGTCATGCCATTTTTTCGAGAATCTTCAGATGCCCTCTGCAGATAATGTTGTTATGAGATTTTGTGCTCATGTTGCAGTTTCCATGTGGAAGAGACTTGTCGACCCTTACATAAGAGGCTATCAGAACACAGGACTGCCTGTAAAGGTTTATGGATTCAGAAATCGGAGGTGGCTGAACATGTGGTCCCTACAGCAGACCATATAGAATGATTCAAATCCTAAACTTTTGACTGATATTGGGACTTCACATCTAAGCGGAAGATCAGGGAGTCGATTGAAATGAACAAAATAAACAACATCCTGAATAAAAAGAACGAAAGTAGGAGACTAAGTAAGAATTATCTCTGGCTTTAGAAAACAATTGAAGAGAGAGAGAGAAGGAAAGGGAACAGGAAGAGCCACTGAGTAAGTGGAGAAGACTTGACTAAGCTAGAGTCTGGTTTTGGACCTAAAATTGTCAACCAATTCGTGAATGTTGCATACATACATAAACACACATCCACGAGGATATAACAAGAACCAGGATTACAGGATCATATGCTGATTTACTTTCATAGACAAAAGTTGTGGCCACATCCGCTCCCCTTCCATCATCAATTTGACTTGCTTGCATGTAGGACAAGCATACGTCAGCCAACCAAATAATGAAATGCCTCATTAAGATCGCAAAGTGAGATATAAGAAGTAAGTAGGATCTTAGTTTAGCTTATTTTGGTAATTGTTAGTGAATAGTGGCTTCTGGTTCTGATGATGTCCGTCACATGACTGACGAAATCTCATCACGGAGTCATCAGGGTCGTAGGACGGTGAGCCGAGGTCTACTTCGCACAATGCAACGGGCAAAAGTCCAAGCCAACCCTCCTTCTGTATCCGGTGCGGCCAATCTACGAATCCCTTGCACCCACCTTCTCAAACGAAATGAAAAGTATGCCAGTATCTAAGTAATCTTCACTGGCACAGTGGCACCTAGTCATATCATAATATATTCCATTTATATTTAGTATACTATATAAATGTAGATATATAATAGAATATAATTATACTATATTTATTGTATTATGTGATCATATTAGGCATTACTAATAGTTTCTAAACAAACTTACATTAAAAAAATAAACTCTAGCTGGAAATCACGAACACTATGGCAGAGGGCAAAGGACTAAGTACGTCCCACAAGGTCTCCCTGACGCTCTAACCAAGTTGAGAAAGCAAGGTCGAGCCAACACTCTAGTTGGAATATTGACCGTAACTAAAATTAATTAGCTTACATGCGAGTATTTTTCTAGCCAATTAATAAAGATGTTCATAGTGATATTATATAATTATACTACATATAGTATTATATTATATGCCATTATATCAGGAATTGCTAATAGTTTAAAAACATACTTGCATAGGAAATAATAGAATCTATTTTAAAAGGTGTTTGAGTATACAATTCTCATATAGAGTAGTTTAATCAGGTTATACAACAATAAGTGGGCATTCTTCTGAGTCACCCTTAGAGACTCCAGCGTAAGCAGATTTATAAGCCGCTTTTCTGACAACAGAATACCTGCTTGAGGCCGGAAGTGAAGAACCTTGGCTCCCTCTAAATTCCATTTTGTCCTTTAGCCCAAGATCGCCCGTGACATTTTGACGTAGTAGTTGACATGTCACAATTATATGATGAAGTACCACAATCCGGGTTAGAGCCCCGCTGAGGATGCTGATGAGGCCTAAGCCAGGTCAAAACTGCAGTCCACTCCAGACTGTATGTGAATACCTTTTGGTAAGCAAGGCTTTATGAACCCCAATGAAAACGTTAGACCTACTCATATTATTGTGGGAATATATAATCACAAATCCTCAATTGCCTTAAACGAAGTTAAGTGAGTACAGTTCTCATTTAAAATCAATTAGTAATATCGAAAACCTACTTATAAACCGAAATTGCAGTCAACTTCGTAGGGGAAAACCGGCTGGGAGCTGAGGCTAAATGAAAGTAAATGTCACCCTCAGGTCTATTTTGCACTGTTGGAAATTTTGGCGTCAGTCCTTAAACCACTTGAGTGACTAATTTTCTGATTCTAGACCTCATTAGTTTGACCCAGCTTGTTGGTTTCGATTAACTTTTATCTTCAACTCACTTCACTGCTAGCTTTTATGTACATAATAGCATCCAATCTAGCCTTTAAGGTTAGATGACTTGGCAACTTTACTTTCCAAGTGTGGACATGGACCACATTGAATTTGTCCTCGATGGCGAGGCTGCCATCTGAAACTACCTGAAATGGAGGAAAATCAGACAATGGTGGGCATAGAAAAGCTGCTTTTCGTGGTTGACGAGTTGCCCATATGCAATCCACAATCATTTTTTATTTTTTGAGAGGCTGCATATATTTTATCTCAAAACTCTCCTATCGAAGCAGGGCATTCGCGTTAGTTTGGTAATAATCAATAGAAACCAATGGCATTTTAGCGTAGCTTTGAGGAGCAAACTAGTATGGACTTGGGTTTGGTCACCGTCTTTGTCCCCTGAATGTACTTGATTTGAACCCTTTTTCACTCATTTATCGTATTTTTTCAGAGACTTAAAAGAACTCTTTTTCTGGGGCTTCCTGTCTTCGTGTTTTCGTGAATTTTTGTAACGCATGGTGTCCTGCTCTGGCGATGTTCATTACATGACGGACAAAAGCTCAGCAAGGATTCATCAGGATCTAAGGGCAGTGCGCCGAGGACCTATTCGCACAAATCTACAGTCACAGCTCCAAGTCAATCCCCCTACAGCTTCCGGTGATGCCAACTTACCACACCCTTCCACTCGTCTCTTCAAACGAAATGAAAGGTACTTCAACATCAATCATTTTTCCGTTTGCCATTAGGTTTTCGAGACTACCAATAGATCAGATATAAGACCTGCATTCAGCCTATTTTGTTCAAAGTGACGAAGGTGTGGTAGTTGATTTTCCCACAATTTTTATGATTATGCCTCACGTTTTCATTTAATTTCACATAGCCTT